GATACAAAGGCACTATAAAGAGCAAGTAAACCATCAAAAGTAGTGACAGAAATCATGGCTTACCTTTGACCTTTACATATTCATGTTTTTGAATTCTGATTGCTTGCAGAGAGGGCTGTAAGTGTAGCTGCTATTGCTCTCTGCACAGATTCTGAGGTACTTCGACCCTTTAAGAACTATTTTTCCTTCTCTCCTATGGCTTCTAATCATCCACTCTCGTATGAATTTTAGTAATTTATGATGGTGAAGACTAGAGACTAGAAGTTCTTGTACTCTTTAAGATTTGAATTTCATCATCAATCCCTGTTGCAATGAGAATTGTTGATGATATAATCAGGAAGGAGGCTCTTATTAGGAGAGGTGATTTCTTAAGTATTCCCTCTTTGCAATTCCACATAGTTTATGACTTGAATTACATTTCTTGAACATGGAAAGTGACCTCAATCTGAAAAAATGGAGCTTGGATAAGTATTAGATGCTGACACTGTTGCCAGTGGTGTCTCTATAAAATCTTTCATCGTGCCTGCTTCTGAATCCAGAGAAGTGAAAGACAGGATATCCTAGTTAAGAAAGATGAGGTTATCAATGAGAAGAGGAGGAACTAGAATACTAGTAGTATAAGGGAATGAGATGTAGCCAGGACATGCAAGTTAGTATAAAAGATGAACGGGCTTGAAGAGAAGGGAGAAATAAGCACCAAGCCAATACAGAAGACAAGAAAGCATATTCCAAAGTGTCAAGCTTACAGAAGAATAATATCATGAGTTTAGGTACAAGATTGAGTGAAGCTGTCAGACGGATCTTAAAAATTGGCTTTTCGGGGTTAGAAGTTAGAGATAAAGCAAATGATCAAATAGCCACAAAGTGATACCAAGATAATAGATACTCAGTAAAAGAATAGTACTAGTAGTCACATTCATGTACGAGACAACCAGGGGAAGAACTGGATTTGGGTGTGAAAGGTTATTCTTAATATTTTTTTCATACCGGTGATTGAAGATATTGAGAAGGGAAATTCTGTTTCTGATAAGTTGCCTTAAGAGGTGCTCAACTCCTCATTCTAGGTCACTAATACTCTCTGATATTGAAGATATTGAGTGAAGTTCATCCATGCCTTCTTTTGATTGCAGTAGGAAATCTTCAGCAATACTGCAGATGGCCAGGAGCCTCAAAGACATATCAAGTAGTTCGTCAACAGATTTGTCACTACATTCCTCTCCAAAGGCTTTCTGGGCCATTGGTAATTGAAGCATCTTACCAGTACATTCAAGCAAATCTCCAAACCACGGAGTTTGCAGCTTAGAGAAGAATAAGCTAGTTTAGAAGACTTTAATATCTTACGATGCTCCTCAAATTGAGATACAAGAGGGTGAGATGCAGAAGGCAAGCTGTTGCAACGGATATGAAGGGAGTTCTTTGTGTTTGGTGCAATGGCTGCCATTTTTTCTTCTCAGAGAAAGAGATATCTAAGAGCTTGTGTACAATCTGTTCAAAACTGAGGTTTAGTTGTCAGCAATCTTCTCTGTGTATTGCAAACAAGTTGAGGGAGACAAGAAGCACATATTCCTCTCCATATGTCACAAAGTTGGAAGGCAGTAATATCACCTTGACTTGGATCTTAAACCTACCCTAGAATTTTGTTTGCTCAGTGCCTCCTAGACACCAAGCTTCCCAACTCATCCTTTAATTTTCAACTTGGGAATCACACGAGTTCTCCTGCAATGGCATCTTCCACTGATGGTATTCCTCTTGCATGTCTCCTGCATCTTAAAACTCTCTCATATAAAACTCAAACTTGTACACCATGTGGGCAGGCCATTATATTTGGCATTAATGAGATACTATGTCAAGAGAAAGAAGAGCAGCTTCTGTCATATAATTCCACTTGTCTTATAAATTTTTCTTCTTGCTTTATTGCTATTTGTTCTTCTCGAGGAACATTATTATATTCACATCACTATGGTAGATCATTTTTTGATGGCGATGTCCATGCGGTGTTTCTCATATAATATTAAATGATTGGTGTTCAAGCCAATTCACATGGTACCCTGCTTTACCAAAGATTAGACTTCATACATTGTTGTTCCCAGTACAATTTAAATAATTTAATAAATGATCAATAGTATGCAAGTTGCTAATGATGAATTTAAATACCATAAAACAAGGTGAGAAAATGATCAATCTGATTTCATGGCTTTATTTTTTATTATCCCATATGAAATTGTACCTACGATTCCATTTGCCCTTGAAACTAACTTCTTCTGCTGTTGTTGTCATTATTACTACTACTACTATTTATAACGAAAATTAATTAATTAAAACAGAGAACAAATAAAAATTGGGAAGCTAAATAATAAACTCTTTCTTCTTCTGGAAAGATCACTAAAAGGTTCTGTTTTCTGTTGTTGTTATGAGGGAAAAACTATTTGAGATAAACAGAAAACAAACAAGAAGCCTGCACTAAACTCTGTTCTGCTCAGGGGAGACTGATGACGGGTTGCTAGAGCTCTAACTACCGGCAACTATTTTTTTGAGGATTCTTACAATTTCAATAGCGTAGTTAACAAGTTCTTTAACATGATTAGCAAGTTCAGTACAGTAAATAATAATAAATTTTTCAAAAAATTCAAAAAGTGGTATTTTTATAATTTCAGTAATGCGGTTAACAAGTTTTTTAACTCTGACGACTAGCAACTATTTTTTGGGAATTTTTATAAGTTCACTAACGCAGTTAACAAGTTTTTTAACACAATTAACAAGTTCGGTGTATCAGATAACAAGTTTTTCAGAAAATTCAAAAAGTGATATTTTTACAACTTTAGTAATATGGTTAACAAGTTTTTTTAACACTATTAACAAGTTCGGTATAACAGTTAACAACATGTTTTTCAAGAAATTCAACAAATGGCATCTTTACAATTTTAGTAACGCAGTTAATAAGTTTTGTAACACTACTAACAAGTTCAGTATAGCAGTTAACAACAGGTTTTTTAAAAAATTGAAAAAGTGACATTTTTACAACTTCAGTAATGCAGTTAACAAATCATATAATGATATTAACAACTCTTATAACATTATTGACAAAATTTCCTTATGAAGGTTGATGTTTTTAATATTAGTTCCCAGTGCATAAAAAAATTTCCATTTATTAGGTAGTCATCATAGTTATGAGAGTTGTTAATATCATTACATGACTTGCTATTAGAGTTATTAATTGTTATGTTGAATTTGTTAATAGCGTTACCGAACTTGTTAACCACGTTACTGAAATTATAAAGATACCACTTTTTGAATTTTCTAAAAAACTTGTTAACTGATGTATCGAATTTGTTGATAGTATTAAAAAACTTTTTAATCTTGTTACTGAAATTGTAAAAATACCACTTTTTGAATTTCTTAGAAAACCTGTTGGTAATTGCTATACCGAACTTTTTAATAGCATTACAAAACTTGTTAGTCGTATTACTAAAGTTGTAAAAATATCATTTTTTGATTTTTTTGAAAAAACTTGTTATTAACTGTTATACTAAACTTATTAATAGTGTTAAAGAACTTGTTAATCGTGTTATTAAATTTGTAAAAATCCCTCAAAAAAATAATTGTCGACTACTAAAGCTCCTGTGACCAGTGACCACCTAAACTTCGCCGGAGTCTGGTGGCTAGCTGATCGGTGTAGATAGTTTGAATCTCTTACCCAAAAAAAAAAAAGTTAAAGGGCAATAATACAAATTTTTCACATTTTTAAATTCCTAACTAAATTGAAATTTCGCAAGTTTGAAGTTTTGCAAATTTAAGTTTCATTTTACTGGAATTTTTTATTTTTAATTTTAAAATTTTAAAAGTATTTTTTTCCGAATTTTCCTTTGGAAAAAAAAAATCTTAGGCTATTGGCTGATTAACCGGTTATGTCGCAGCGAGAGTGCACCTGGATCCTTCCGCAGCTGCCACTTCGAAGACGACCCTCAGCCTCTTGACGCCGTCTAAACGCTTCAGCGGCTTGCCGGTGTTCTAACTCTTCTCCGACGGTAGGGGCACTCACACCCTCTCGCCGCTGACATTTACATTTCGTAAAACGGTGTCGTTTTCAAATATTAGTACCTCTGCAACCGCAGCGATTAGCGGAGACCAAAAGCCCTAAGCATTACCGTTCAACTGACTTTCTTCGTCTTGCGGCCACAGGCAACGGAACCAACGAATTCGCAACCTTCAGCCGGCCACAGGAACCACCCGTAAGGAGGACCTCAACCATTCTGTAGATTCGTTAGTTCTTCTTCCTCCTTCCTCGTTCTTTGTCATTCTACCAGCAACGGGTGCAGTTCTTATCTCCTTACCCTGCATAGTTTCGTTTCATTTTTCAATCTGCAATTTCCCTTTAGTGTTTACTCCACAACTCAATTTGACCAAAAACAAGCTCTCTACTATTCAACTCACTATCTCTTGCTTGTTCTGATTTCGATATGCACACAGTACTGTTGATAGATTGAATCTTTACTAATGGGCATTGCTGCTTGGTTTAAATTAGTTTTGTAATTATTGAGAATCCTATCAATCATTGAAGGACAAAGTCTATAAATTCTGACTGAGAGTTGATTGATTGGAAGTTTACTATTATTTGAGCCTTGTGGTTATTGGAATTTTCATATTCAGATTCGTTGGCTATTTATAAACTTAAGAGATGAGCGGTTGCTATAGATATGGCTTCAGTTTGAGTGTTAGTATGTTTGTAAACAACGAGTAAGCAAGTTTTCCCTGATTCAAAGGAATAACTCAATTCAGAAGTTCAAAAGTTTTACCACTAAAGAATAAGAAGTCAAATTAACTTGTCGCTTTCAGTTTCTTGTGCTTCCCACAATGCTTATTCAGTAAATCTTTTCCCAGTATCAACTCCTTCACATACATTTTTGAGACTAAGGGGTTGTGGCATTTTGTTATGACTAGAGAAACCAAACTTCTTCTTAAGCGCAAAGTTACAAGTTTGAGACTTTCTTAAAAAAAAGTTGGTGACAATTTTCAGACTTCCTTAAAAAGTGCTAACAATTGTGCGGGCCTTGACTATATGTTTGGTAAATTTGAAATTTTGGAGTCTCATTATTGTTAAGATTAGAACCTTAGCAAAGTTATGTGGATAGGAAAACTTGCTTATGAACATGCACGCGTACACACATGCTCATGGGTGCACGCTCTCAACCATAGGTATATTTGTAGCAGCCCTCAATGATCTTAAATTTATACTGACCCAAATGAACCTGAGCGGGAAGGATACATGCAACCTCACAAGATATTGGTAAGAAATAACCTCATGATTTCTAGATTACAGACTCATCACAGATTTTATAGGCTACTCAACGATTACAAAACCACGTTAAATCAGAAAGCTATGCTAATTAGTATTGTTGGTGATGTTTACACAATCTGAAGTATGTTTATTGGTTAGACTGTGATCTGATATTGAGCTTTGACTGCATGAAGAAGCAAATGGTGAATGCTAGATAGAAAGAGCTAGTTGATGTTGATTAGTTCAGTGTATTGTAGCCTTTAATTAGATAGGGGTGTCGTCATATTCTCCTTGCATGTAACTAATGGGGAACTTAGTTAGTATGTGTAGAGTTTGTCCATAATTGTTTTGTCTGGTTGGTTCCAACGAGAAGTTATTCCAGGGGTGGATCTAGATGACAACACATTTTTTGGGGGTGGGAGGGGGGGCTTAAGATAAACTAAATTAGTAAATTTTCCCCCCGGGGGGGGGGACTTTTTTAACATTCTGAAATTATATTTTGGTCTAATGCTGTTTGTTTAAAATAGCTATTTTTCCATATATCTGGAGGTCTTTGCTAAGTTTGGAATGCCACACCTAGCTGGTCAGTATAATCAATGAGATTTGATTGGCTCGGAAAATATTGATGGAATTTTTTCAGCTTTTCCATGGCAAATAATGCAAAATCTAAAAGAAGCTATTATGACGAATCTCCAACAAAATGTAATTACTCTTGGAACAAACTGACCCCAAGTGTTGACCTTCTTCTGTTGTTTGCTGGAAATTTAGATGTTGGGAAAAGCAAGGAAAGTTTCAGGGCGTGGAGAAGCTGTAGCAGCAAATTATGCTTTTGGTCCGGCTGAAGATGATGCAATAATCAAGCATAGGCTTCTGACACGTACAACAACCACAAGGGGTGAGCCTCCATTGAAGAAGCTTCAGAAAAAATTCACAACCTTTGTCTCTGAGATCGAAAAGCAAGAAGATAACTATAATGACTGTGAAAAGTTAGCCAAAGCTTTCTTGCAGGAATTAGCCACATTCGAGATTCCACTTCTAAAGAGTAAAGCAATTGTTGATGCCAATATTAGAGAGAAGGAAAATTTCAACGAGCTGAAAGATGAAATAAATAGGCAAATCCTGCAAGCACAGGCTGACATTGAAGATCTTAAGAAGCAACTTGAAGAGAGTAAGATTGAGAGGCAGCACAAGGAGGAATGTGAAGCTATTAGGAAATTGATTGCCCTGCAGCCACCGAGATCAGAGACACAGAAGCTTATAACTGAGTTAGAGAAAGAAATTATGGCGTTGGATGCAGAGAATACAGCTGGTTCGAGATTGTTGGAGCTTCGGAAGAAACAATTTGCTCTTCTTTTGCATGTGGTACGTGGAAGCCTTCACATGTTATGGCTTGTGTGATTGTTGTGTTCCTTTTTTTTAAAATAATTTTTTTGGTATTGATTGTTGTGCTCTTTGTTTCAGTGAAATAATTAGTAGATATTTAATCATGTCCTCATTTTTCGTTAACTCGGTTTATTTTCTAAGATTAACATGGCAATTTTAAGATTATTGCATTTATTTGAGCAGCACTACCTTTCACTTCTCGTGCATCTCATGTCTCCCAACCAAACTGCATTTCCTGGAAAATAGTGTTATCATTGATATATAATCTTTTAAAAAAATTAAAATAATCCAGAGTGATGGGGACAATACTTGGCCTCCCCCGAACAAGTTTTTTAAATAAGAAAGTCGCTGCTGATGCATCTCTTCTGCTGCTTATTTTCCTGCAGGTGGATGAGTTACAGAACACAATAGAGGAAGAGCAGAAGAATCTTATTGAGGAGATGAGAGCGGCACCTGAAGAGCTCAAGAATGGGATAGAAGATGCAAGTGGGGGTTCGGAAGCTATGGCTGTTGACTAGCAAGTGAATTTCATATCGGTCCTGCCATTGTTAGAGATTAGTTGCTCTTCGAACATATCATCCCATAGGGTATGTGTTTTTCCGTCTCATTGAGCAGCAACCTCTATCTGTTGAGCAACAATTAGGGATACACTCATGAAACTTATGGCACCACCACTCTGGCTGTTAGGTTTGAACCTTCATTTCTATGATAGTTGGGGTTAAGGCCACGTGCTTAATTTTTGGATTTGGATCTTCTGAAGTTGGTGAGGTTCAATGCAAAATATCTGTATCTTCTGTTCATCTATATATGCAATGTACTAGGAACTAGTGCTGTCCTTCTGATGGATTATGATAGAAGGTAATACGCTGAGGCTCGAGCTCAAGACCTCACTTAAGCGGTTGCTTATCACTTGGACCAACCCTCCTTGGTTATTCTAGATTAAATTTAATTTTCCAACTAATTCTTATATTAAAGACAAGAAATAGTAAAATTCACCATGAATAACTGACTCATACAAAACTCTCTTATCCAGTCAAAGTATGAGATTGATTTACCAATTCATTGTTGTAATCAGCTTACTTGAATTGAAATTTAATACCATGGTTAAAAGTGGGTTTCTTGCCCTAAACTAATATCTTCACGCGGAGAAGAGTTCAAATAAACTGCCTGATCTTTCTCTGCTTCTCTCTGACCTTTTATTTCCGTGCAACCATTTGGATCAAACTGTAATGGTTCCACTCGATTTGTTTACTAAATTTTCATATTTTAATAGTACTCCTTTTGTTCTTAATATAGAATTTAATTATTAAGTTAATTTTAATTTTTAATATAAGGCTTATTTATCATATTTATCAATTTTTTCTAAATTACCCATATAGAGATTCTCTCAACCATAATCAAGTAAGTGAAAGACAGAGGATATTAAAAAAAATATGATTGTGGTATTTAAAAAAAAAACATCACATTTTTTTATAATTAAATAACTTATCTAACTTTTTTAATCTAATTAAATTAATTAAATAGGTCTTATATTAAGAACATGTGAAGTGTTAATTTGAATAATGGGTGAGGTTAAGAATAGGGAGTGAGAAAAGGGGAAAGACGCAGAGAGCCTTAAGTAAGAGAGAAAAACTGACATATTCTTTTATTACGTTTAACTTATTCTCAATCAAGACAAATTCCAAGCAGAAGAGATGCGAAGTCAATTAGAAACAAAGTGGGGGGGAAAAAATGTTTCCATTGAAAAACAGTATTATCAATATCGAAGTTCAGAAACAAATAATTCAAAAATGTAACAATGTCTTCAGCAAATATTCCATGTCTATATTTTTTAATAATCAATTTTAAAGCTTAAAATTATGGTTTTCTAAAAATTTATTCAAACCCTGAATAAATTAATTATGAAATCATTAGCCAAACACCCATATTTTAATTAAATCAGTTTTGTGACCCTCAAACAAACACCCATGTTTTGATTAAAAATCAATTGTAAAGCCTTCCTCAACCATGTTTTCCATTAGCAGCCGACTTATACTTTGGGAGCATTTGGATTACTATTGTGTAAAATAGAAATTATAAAATTAGCATAATTGATTTAATCAACATATGGTGTTTGGATAAATTTTTTAAAAAAACATAATTAAAAAGCATGTAATAGTTGCTTGTGTGATAGACATATAAAGAAACACTCATATTTTGATTAAAAATTAATTATGAGACCTTTTAAAATATATATAAATTGAATTTATTAAATTCTCAACATGACTTCACACTTTTGTGGCCTATACTTAATTTTATATTTATGTATATGTTTATAAACTTGTAGAACTTGTGCTTAAACATGTGTCTCAATCTGATCCCTACATATTTGCTTTAAAGTCCATTACTAGCTCAAATGGTGGTAGCCATGTCAACTATGATTAGGTATCTCATTCTATCAACAAATTTACAGTAGTAGCTGAGTCTCCTCTGCATTCATGGCAAAAGCTCTGGCTGTTAAGTATTGAAATGATCAAAGTTCATCTGTAAGATAGTTATATTATTGAAACCGACTGTGACTACTTGGTTAAATGTATTAATCTCTTTTCAGCTATGAATTGTGATCTGTGACTGGAAGTGGTTGTGGAAGATATTTTGGAGGATATGAATTCTAAGATCTCTAGACTCTCTGAAATTCAGCTTAATTTCCAGGTCTACCAATGAAGCTGCAGATTGGCTCATGCAAAGGAGGTGTGTCCAATCAAATTGGGACATGAGGCTCCCACTTTTTCTATCACAGATTTTTTTCCTTAAAATAAAACTAGATATCACAGATAAATAAAAAAGACAATAATACCAAGACTACTCATCAAGATCCATCCCATTAGCCTAAAATGAAGACTCTATTGCGGATTTTCCACTTTTGCTAAGTGAGTGTCCAAAAGGCTTACTCACGTAGGGCCAACTGAGAATCGTAGTGGCAACATGCATGATGCAGCACCAATTTTTGGCTGGTTTCACCACATTGTCTCCTTTATGAAAATCCAAAAGATTTTGCCCAAAACAGTTCAAGTGAAGCAGGAAATTTAAGCACCAAACTGACTATCACAGATTTTTAAGAATGATAGAATTCAAACACATTTAGTAGCTGTTGAAGATGTGAAAACTGTCACAGACTGATGTCTTTACTTGTTTGGTTATTCCTTAACTATTTGTGTTGCTGTTTTTGCTTTGTTACTGTTTTGTTTTTTTTATTGTGAGTTTTGATGTGTTAGCTTGTATTTTTAGGTTTTTTTAGTGTTTTTTTTCTCGACTGTTAGTGTCTGTATTACTTTTTTTTTTTGTTACTAATAAAATTGACTTCTTTTGATTAAAAAAAACAAATTTACTACTATGAATTTTCGGAGATAACGGTGGGCAGAAAAGAATTTTAAATTATTTGTTCCAATTTTTCTAATGTTTCAAGGAAGTCCAAAGTATTCATTTCCACCCTACTTAGCCTTAGCCTATTTCCCACGTAATGTGTCCGGCAACATTTTTTGGTCAACATTTTTAGCCTGTCATAATTCTCTCTTCTTTCACTTTAACCATTATACCATTTTGACTTGTTATTAAAAGAAAAAACAGTATTGCCTCTTTGATCGCATTCCATCTCGTTTAATATGAGATAGATTTTGATGTAAAAAAAAAAAAACCTCTTTTTCTACTTGTAACCTTGACTTTGTTCTTTTACGATCAATGGATGTATAGTTTTTTTTTTTAAAAAAAAAAAACAGCATCACTGATTTATTATTTTTTAGGAATGCTGCACTGTTTCTATCTGGATAGTCATGAAAATCAATTTCACAGGCTAAAGTGATGATTTCTTATAATTTTATCGAAACAATCTGATTTTGATTAATTAATTACAAGATAAAACTAATTATGGGACTAGCAACCAATAGTTGGTTAAAAACAAAAGACTATCAACCAATAGGCTGACTTTTGCCTTAGTTTTTAAGTTTCAATTTAGTATGACAGCGTTCTTAGGCATCGTGTCCAGCGCAGAATTTCCTCTCTTTTAGCTTAATTATCTTATTTCTTGTTCTATTTTTTGAAGCTCTCATTTTCCTTTTATTATTATAACATTTTGACTTATTATTTAAAAAGAAGTGTCACTAATTTATTACTCTTGGCAAATACTACAATGTTCTAAGGGTGTGTTCGGATCACAAAAATCAATTTCAAAGGCTAAAATCATAATCTCTTCAAATTCTATCATGACACTTATTTCTATTAAATTAATGATGAGATAAAATTAATTATGAGATGATCAACCAATATGACTGAGATTAAGACTTTTGTTTTAATTTGGAAGTTTCAATTTGGTTAGAACTGCCTACAATCAAGAATGTATGACATCTAGTAAGCAGGTATCCAAGGCTTTCTACGTGAGTTTAGCTTTAAGGTTAATATGATTTTTAGTCTCTCAAATTTATCATCATTTTGACTTTAGTCCCTCAAATATCAAACCATAAGTTTTAGTCAAATATCAAACCATAAGTTTTAGTCTCTTAAGAAGTAAAATAATCCAAATATTTATTAAATTATCGGGGCAAACCACCGTAGGAGGACAACAATATCCTTAACCTTTGTTAGATTCTTTTCTTGATAATTTAATAATATTTTCTCTCTTATTAAAAAAGAATATTCTTTTGCATTTTGGTAACGAAATCATCATTCTTGGCCCACATTTTTAATTTAACATCTTATTGAAATTCAGTACTGTTTAGGGAAATTTTTCCAAGTTATAAAAATGTTTTTTAAAAATGGGTCTTATATTTAGAAGTGGAGGGAGTAATATTTTAGTTTATTAATTTTATAAAATATCTTCTCAATCTTGTAACTCCAACACGGCTGACAAAATATGCTTATATTAAAATCTACAAAAACATTCTTATGTTGACATACTAAGTTTAATTTTCAAAATTACAATGAATATTACCAAAAATTTATCATTTGTGACTAAAGGTGTTAATATTAAAGAACTGAAGATATACTTTACAAAATTTTTATCAAAAAAACTAAATTTTTCTATAAAATTAAAGAATAAAAAATACACTTCAACCAAAAATAAAAGGCATTATCATTCATATTTGATTTTAGTATGTCAAAATCAATCACAAGATCATCAATCATGTTTCTCATAAACGGCCTCCACATTCGTTTGGATAAATGTTAGGTAAAACTGAGCTTATAAAATTAATTGATGAGCATAATTGATTTTTAAAATAGGGTAATTGAATACATTTTTATGAAAGTATAATTTTGTTTGCCAGACTAGGAAAGTATAGTTGAAAAACAAGTAATAGTAGCTTAAATAATCATGATTTTATATTGGGGTATTTGATAGCTTATAAGATAACTATAAGTGCATAATTTTTGGCATGTAACAACTCATTTACCATTCTGTCTTAAAAAAATTATATCAACTTAATATGAAAATGGAGGAGCATGTCAATAATTCAATATCTTTAGCACAAGGAACTGTACTAGAAAATTATTTATGGGAAGAATCTTCACCCAGAGAAAGATGATCCCCAGTCAAGAATTTCTTCTTCAAATGATCAGAGCGCGTCCATATGGAGAAAGAGTCGTTACACTACACAAAAATTTTAGTTTATATCAATGTTGTCATCACAATATTGACAGTTGTATGTTTATTTTATAGTAATTGAATTAAGTAACGATAGCTATTCATGATATTGAGTTGCATTGTTATTTAAATATATCTTGTGGATTTTATTCGTTGACTTATGTTGTTGACTTGCTGTTACGATCACACGATGATGTTTTAAGATTGAGATTAATTGATTTTAAAGGAACTAATTATATGCTTTTCTGACTCCGTCCACTCATAAATAGGAGACTGTAATTAACTAATTACCCACGAGAATTTTTGGCCTCCAGCAAACTCGTCTCAAAAGCAACTGGATATTGAGACAAACTCATGCTCCTTACTTACGCCCACTTGAGGAATTGTAAGGAAGAAACGCGGGGGGAGGGGGGGGGGGGAGGTTTTACTGAGTTGAATTTTTCAAAAACAGAGAAATCAACAGCTTTTAATTAACGTTTCCTCCCCCTATATATTCGCATATTCTATTTTATCAAACTCGTTAAAATTTTCCATTCCCTGCCAAAGGCAAATTTCAAACTCATTGTTAGCCCAGGAAGGATGAGGATTCCCTGCTAATTGCCAATGAGCCCCACTAATCTCACCATCTAATGGTCACCCGCAAAAGCAACCCCCGGGGGCGGGGCATCTTAATTCTTAAACCAACAAAGGCCACCTCATAAAGCTCATCCAAAGGCCACATAAACCATTGGAAGTAACACAACCAGAAGACACATCTTCCCATATCACCCTCAGCTCATGGCATGCAATTAGCAGTTCAGGCCCATATACACCAGACAGACACACAACGACACACACAGAAAGAGAGAAGCAAAAGAGAAAATAAGCAATTAGCCGAGCAAAATGCAGGCGCAATACTTCTACCATTGCAAAACAAAACAGAAAACATTCCAGAAGAGAACAAAAATTGAAAAAGATAGGGATAGAATTGTCTGGATCGCTACAAACGCTAATGGCATAGAACTTGTAAACGTAATTAAAAAGTAATTTAATCAACTTCCTCCATCTTGCTTCCCTCAGCATCAGCATCGGCTTCCTCCAATGGGGGCATGTCAGCATCACCATCACCTGCATCCTCGTCAATGCTCAGACCAAGTTTCAACATCCTGTGAATCCTGTTTCCGAATGTGTTGGGATCGTCAAGGCTGAAACCAGAGGTGAGGAGGGCAGTCTCAAAGAGCAACAGGACAAGGTCCTTCACGGACTTGTCATTCCTGTCAGCATCAGCACGCTTCCTCAGCTCGTCCATGATGGGATTCTCAGGGTTGATCTCCATTGTCTTCTTGCTTGACATGTAACCAGCCATGCTGTTATCTCTCAAGGCCTGTGCCTTCATGATTCTTTCCATGTTGGCTGTCCATCCATATTCACCAGTTACCAGACAGCAGGGTGAATCGACAACACGGTCAGACACCACAACCTTTTCAACCTTGTCTCCCAAGACATCCTTCATCACCTTGCAGAGACCATCGAATTTGTTCTTGAGTTCTTCCTTCTTCTTCTTCTCGTCCTCGCTCTCATCTAGCTTAAGACCCTCCTTTGTTGCTGAGACGAGTTTCTTGCCCTCGAATTCTTTGAGCTGTCCAACAGCATATTCATCAATGGCGTCAACCATGAACAGCACCTCATAACCCTTCTTCTTCAGTTTCTCCAAGAAGGGGGAGTTCTCAACTGCTTTCTTGCTTTCACCAGTGATGTAGTAAATATCGTTCTGCCCTTCCTTCATCCTGGTAACATAGTCCTTGAGGCTAGTCATCTCGTCACCACTCTTGGTGGAGTGATACCTCAACAATTCAGCAATCTTGCCCTTGTTTTGAGAATCCTCGTGGATACCAAGCTTGAGATTCTTAGAGAAGGCCTCGTAGAACTTGTTGTAGTCCTCCTTGTTCTCGGCTATTTCAAAGAAAAGTTCAATGCACTTCTTAACCAAGTTCTTGCGGATGACCTTCAGGATCTTGTTTTGCTGCAACATTTCTCTAGAAATGTTGAGAGGAAGATCCTCAGAATCCACGATACCCTTAACGAAGCCAAGATACTCAGGGATCAACTCCTCACAGTTGTCCATGATAAACACACGGCGAACATATAGCTTGATGTTGTTGGGTTTCTTTCTGGTGTCAAAGAGATCAAATGGAGCCCTCTTCGGTACAAAGAGGATAGCCTTAAATTCCAGCTGACCCTCAACAGAGAAGTGCTTGACAGCCAAATGGTCTTCCCAATCATTGGTAAGACTCTTGTAGAAAGCAGCATATTCTTCCTTTGTGATCTCTTCAGGCTTCCTCATCCAAATAGGCTTCTGCTTGTTCACCAAGGACCACTCATGTGACACCTCCTTAATCTTCTTCTTTTTCTTCTCCTCTTTTTCCTTCTCCTCGTCTACTTCCTCCACCTTACCTTCCTCTTCCTTCTTCTCTTCCTCGTCCTCATCATCAGAAATCTCCTTCTCAGTTGTCTTCTCAACCCAGAGAGAAATCGGGTAGCTGATAAACTCAGAATGCTTCTTAATCAAGTCCTTTAGGCGTCGTTCCTCAAGGTACTCAAGCTGATCTTCCTTAAGGAATAAAGTTATCTTAGTTCCCCTGCCAAGACTCTCACCAGATGTGTCCCTGGTAACAGTGAATGACCCACCAGCTTGGGATTCCCAAACGTACTGCTCGTCGTCATTGTGCTTAGAGGTAACAATGACCTTCTCAGCAACAAGATAGGCAGAGTAGAAACCAACACCGAACTGACCAATCATGCTCACATCCGCACCAGCAGCCAGAGCTTCCATGAATTCTTTGGTTCCAGACCTTGCAATGGTACCGAGGTTGTTCACCAAATCTGGAATATCAATTCACAACCATTGGTCAGAGACACCAATATGACATATCAGCCAAAATATATGCATAATGCTAAAATAGTTCAATAATTTTTTACGATCTTACCTGCTTTGGTCATCCCAACACCACTATCAATAATGGACAATGTGTTGTTTGTCTTGTCAGGGATGATATGGATGAACAGCTCCGGCTGAGCAGCAAGCTTGCTCTTGTCTGTCAAGCTTTCGAATCGGATCTTGTCCAAAGCCTGCAATAAGCGAGACGCAGAAAGGATACTCAGAAAACATTCACTATGAAAAAAGAAAATGTCCAAGCATGCAAAAGTAAAAACACATTATCATTCCTCCATTGCATAACTTCAAGTAGTCTCAATTCACCCACTCACCCACAAGGGAAAGAAACTTAACAATGCTACGACATTACATTCTAGGACATAAAAAGCATACGTCTTAAAGACTCTCGGCATAAAAAATGAAATTACAGGGCGGAAGAAAGAACAATACCTTATAAGTTTTACAGGGGCAAAGTGAATAAAGAAGACAACAAGAGATGTTAACGATTTACTTCATTTAAGTTTTCAATCAATAATTAAGTACGATACCGATGCGGCACGTACAATAATTCGACACACAAAGCAACAAATACAATCCTCACAGTGACTCAATCAACAAGTAGCTCAGTTAGAGATAAAACTAATCTAAGTACAACCCAAAATATCAAAGTAAATATAGATCACGCAGAGGGATCAAATCTAAATTCTTAAAGACAATGAAAACACAAGACATAAATGAGGAAACGTACATCAGAGGCATTGCTAATGAGCTCACGAAGGAAAATCTCCTTGTTGCTGTAGAAGGTGTTGATGATAAGACTGAGAAGCTGGTTGATCTCAGCCTGGAAAGCGAACGTCTCAGTCTCCGCCATTAGCGATCTGTCTAGGAGGAAGAAGAAGAAGAACGAGGGTTTCGGTGGGAGATCAAAGTAGCAGAGCGTATGAGAGAGAAATGAAAGTGAGCCGCGGAGTGAAGCGAGAAGAAGCGTTATATAGGAGAAACTTGCTAGGGTTTAGATATTCTAGATCCTTCGACACGAAATATAAAACAGGCAAGCTAAGTATTAAGAGGTTCGGGGCCCACATTGCCCTCTTCGGTCCCATCGACGGCTTCGCGAACATTCGATTGAAGGTGTAATGTTTATTTTCGACCGTTGGATTGTGATTCCCTCATTTCTCGGACTTTTCCTCTCAACATCGTCGAACGCGTTGTTGAACAGTTTTTTCTTTTCTAATCTCCTTTTCCCAGTATTTTCTTACTGATTTCGCAGGAGGAGTTCACGTAGGAGTTAAACATATTTAATTCATTTTTTTTGTCAACAAAATTTTAATCCCCTTTACGGTTTATATTATTATTTTTTAAAAATCATTTACAAGAAATTATAGTTAGTATAATTTTTATTTTTTAAGTTTACTTTATTTAATTTTGGTTTCCCAAATTTTACATCACAAAGGAAACCAAAATTTTTTTATCTATTTTACTTCCCGAGGGATCAAAACTTATTATTTGAAACTTAAGAGACCAAAATCAAAATAAAAGAAACTCGATGAACCAATGATTATACTAAATCCTAAAAAAATTAAAAAAATTATGTTATATTTATTATAATTAAATGATTTATTTAGTTTTTTAAATTTATCCAAATTAATTAATTAATTAGTTTTACCCTCTATTTGGATGGGAAAAAAGTTGAGAGGAAAGAAAACGAGAGGAGAAAATAGAGAGAAAAGAAAATTAGAAGAAAATATTATCACCTCTTATGTTTGGATGAACAAGAGAAAACAAAAGAAAAAAATGAGTAAATATATGAATAACTCAAATACCCTTTCTATTATATCAAAATATATCTTGATTAAAATCAAATTAAATATCATAATGAAAAACCATATTTACACTAACATAATCTTATAATTTAAAATCAAATTATTTGATAAAGATATATTATCATATTATTATATTTTAATATCAAATAATTTTGTAAAAAAGAAAAAAAAACATTTTGTGTAATATAATGCTAGAAAAACCAAAACAACAACTCTACTTATTTTTCCTTTCAGTTAATTTCATAAGGATTTTTGCAATTTTAGTTATTTTATTTTTCATCAAGCAAACACAGAAAAAAGACTTGATAATAATAAATAAAGTGAAAAAATGAAAAAAAAAAAAGAATTATTTTGCTGAAAAAACATATATAAGGGCAGAGAGGAAAAAATATGTTTTCTTCTCATTTTCTCGCCATATATGGAGAGAAAAATTAGGAAGAAAATGGAACGTAGGACCCATCTCAATTTCTTCCCAACTTTTCTTTCCTCTCACTTTTCTTCCCTTATCCAAATAAGGGAAAATCCACTTCTCCTCCTTTTTCCTTCCTCCCTTATTTTCTCTCCATCCAAACATAGCATTAATACTCCTTCGGTTCTTAATATAAGACCTATTTAACTAATTTGATTAGATTAAGGAAGTTAGGTAAGTTAGTTAATTATAAGAAATGTGACACGTTTTTCTTAAAACATCATAATCATCTTTCTTAATACTCCCTCTTCTTCTTCTAGTTAATTATAGTTGAGGGAGAATCTGTAGGGGTAATTTAGAGAAAATTAATAAATATAAAAAATAGGTTTTATATTTAAGACTAAAACTAACTCAACAATTGAGTCTTATATTAAGGACCAGAGGAGTATTATTCTTCAAATCCTTAATATAAGACATATTTAACTAATTTGATTAGATTAAGAAAGTTAAGTAAATTAGTTCATTATAAAAAATATGACATGTTTTTCCTAAAATACCATAATCATCTTTCTTTGTATCCTTACTCCCTTACTTATTTGATTCTGGTTGAGAGAGTATCCAGAAGGATAATTTAAAAAAAAATTAATAAATATACGAAATAAGTTTTATATTTAGGATCAAAATTAATATAATAATTAAATGCTATATTAAGGATTTGGGAGGAGTAGGTATGGAAGCAACAATAATTAAAGAATCGGATCAAACTAGACAATCCAAAGTTAAACTTTCGCTCGAATTTGTCAAGGCATATACTACATAATCTCTCTTGAATATTTATATATCATTAAATTATATATTAATTTATAACTAAACAAATTATTTTTAAAAAAGGATAAATATAAATATTTTAAACTAACCTATTGAGGTTTTGTAATTTCTAAAATTAATCAATTAAGGAAGTGTTTGGGTTGAAACAAAATCACTATTTTAAAGGTATTTTTTACTATCTACGAAGTAAATATATTGAGAAGTTTATTTTGATTTACAAAAAAAATACTTTAAGTTTCCCAAACACTCTCTAAATGAATTGACAACTAGAGTCTAAACCAATTTAGATTGAGTAGAGCGGGAGCCCTTTCATGCGGCAAAATCTTTCACTTAGGTTGTTGCATTTTCAGGTTCAATATCAAGATCTATAATTCAGCTGTTACAATTCTCTTACTAGTTTTGCCAAACATGTCCCATCAACTTATCAAGATATGCCAAACATTTTTCTTTCGCGGGTTAATTGTTATTTATTGAGACAATGAAATCATCTATTTATGGCCAAAAAGATGACAAGAAAAACTAAAAGCAACGTTAGTATATGCAATTCAATCACTTCCTTCTTATTACAAATATGAAAAGCCTTAAATTTATTATTCCATCCATTACTTTTTATAAGAGATAAACGTTGAATATGATTTTTTTTATAAAAGACATTTGGAATTATCTTAAATTTTATTTGTCAATTTTTCATTTTGCATACATTTAATTTCTATATATTCTCTCTTTACCGCATATTCTCTCCTCCACATAAATGAGAGTATTTTTAGCCTAAAATGTTATATTTTTTTAAATGTATTATTGTCTTTAATTTTAAACAATATTTTGAGCAACATAATATGATTAATTGTTTCTTATAAAAAAAGAATGGAATGAGCAATAATATAAAGTAATTACTCTCTGCTCACATGTAAAACATTTTTTTAAAGCTACCAATAAAATTTAGTATGGTAAGCTAAGTGACTAACTCTTGACAATGTGATAAACCAAGTTTGAATTTTTGTTTGAAAAGATGCTTACATCTAATGTGTGACTATGCCTCATATAGAATTGATTATAATGGGAAGATTACTGCATCTAAATTTTTTTCTCCTAAAAGAAGCTTTTTAAAGCTTGGTTTAAATAACAAACATTTAACGTATGATGAGTATTATTTATTTGAAACAAAATTAAGAACCTCAATTATTTTTAATCAACTTAATTCATATAAAACTCAATAGTGGTAAATACGAGGGAAAAATGTTTCTCAAATCTTAATGTTAGGGTAAAAAAGTCCAAGCATTAATGGTTTACACCCACTAAAATGCTCCAAGTATTGATGTTTTTGTTAATTCGTAAGAGATTCATGATTCTAACAAGTAAGATTAGTCAACATAGACAATAATAAATGCAACAAGATTAAGAGTTGTTTGAGAGAATAATTTGTCTACATATCATTTTTAAATGAAGAATCTCCGAACGGGGGGACATTGCGATTTATTCTTTGCTAAAAATCATGAAATTATCTTTGATTGGAAAATCGTTAAGTTATCTATTCTTACTTCTACCTCCTCTTATTTTCATAGGGGAATGTTGGAAATATTTTTGAATACTATTTATATGAAAAAACTCTTGTTTGAAGCATTTATTAAATTTTTTAGAAATATTAAATGTTGGAAATATTAAATTTTTTACGCCATTATTAAAAAAGAGAATGGTAATACATAAAAAACAGAAAACATTAATAACAGTCACTCCTAGTTTTCCAATGCAAGATGAGTTATAAGAATAGATTAAATAAGGACATTTTTTAGAATAAATTCATACTTATAACATGTTTATAAATTTCAACTAATTTTAACTATATTTTCTAATTTTAATAAATTAGTTTTTTAAATAAAAAAAAAGGAGTATGAGGAGGATTGAATTATTTATTTTGTATTATTTTAGTAGTCCTTCTAAAAATAAATTCTCTTGGCTTCAGTGAATAAATTATATTATACAAAATTTAAATTTTATAAAAATATGTTAAAATTTATAGGGAAAATAGATTTGTCGGTCCTTATAGTTTCATTGGATTTTGAATTAGGTCCCTCTAGTTTTATTTCTTTTTATTGAATCCTTATACTTTGTTCGATTAAAGCCATACGTCCTTCTGTTAATAAATTCTCAAAACACCGTTAGTCGCTCTCTCTCCCTCATTAAAAGCCGGTGGCTCTCTCTCTTATCAGCCATGACCAGTTTGATGATGACACCAAGAAGGAGAAGAAGAGCTGCTTCTTTAGCTGGTTCTTCTCCATCAATATCGGCATGCCGCTTCTATGCTACTTCTGCAGCGGTGAGCCTTCTGCTAAGAAAGGAGGAGGTGGGGCTTGTACATGTGGGTTCTTGCTAGTAGGTTCCAACTCGTGAAGGCAGGGTCTCTGAGGAATGAGGCAAATGGCGAGGCCTCTGGGTGTTGTGAACTAGGTGGTCATCATGCTTAGCCTCTAGCCACTCCAAACAGCCTCATCCCTAAAACTCTAATAACTATTATTACTTTTTTGGCGTTGATTAATCTAAAATCATAAATTAATATTGCCGAAGGTCATGAGCATTTGAAACTAAAAAATCAATGCTCTTTCATGGAATAATGCAAGGGTCTCAAAACAAAAGTTTGAAAGAAACTACCAAACTCCTTCTCGATTAGCATCAACATAACCTTCATCAATTAGCATCAACATCCAAAACACATAGAAGCGACACGCCAATATTGATAGAGAAGCAGAACCAGTTGAAGAAAAAGCTCTCCTTCTCGACGTCATCATCGAACTGGTCATAACTGATGATAGAGAGCCACCTGCTTTTGACCGGGGGAGAGAAACCAAACGGTGTTTTGATAATTTATTAACGGAAGGATCTATGGCCTTAACAGAACAAAGTATAAGGGTTCAATAAAAAGAAATAAAACTAGAGGGACCTAATTCAAAATCCAATGAAACTACAAGGATTGACAAATCTATTTTCCCAAATTTTTAAAGTCCAGGGAGATAAATTACAGAACCCTTGAATCAAAGCTATTCTTTGAATTTTAACTAAATTTCTGGGGAAAAAGTTGTAATTTGGCTAAATTTCAATTCTCCCTGCAGCATATTATCATTTGCAATTCCAGATGCGCACGCCTATTCACTGTGTTAATCTGAAGCCTTTACTATCGATAGGCTTGAAAGAGCAGTCGCAGACTCGCAAGACGCATGCTCATCATTCTTTCTTTAAATCAAACAAAACAAAGTTGCATTCTTGATTTACTATTATATTGTTCTTGATCTGCTATTCTGAATCGAGGTTTGGGTGCCGAGAAAGCAAGAATTGAAAGATGCAGAAAACGGCGCAAGGATGGTTCTCGCAAGCAACTGACGGCGATAATGGCCAGAAACCGTCGTCTTCTTTGCTGGCCGATTGGAATTCGTACGCAGCATCCCAATCTACGGAGGAGAACTCTGATTCCGCTTTTGGTTTTGACATCGAATCTGCCGTTAGGTCTGCCAACGACACAGTGACGGGTACCTTCAGCGTGTAAGCTATCCTCGCTACTCCTTATACGTGTCTCTTTAGTTTCGGTTCGGTCTGGTTATGATTTCGTGGTGGTTCTTATGCTTTCTGGAGTTGGCCGCTTGATGGGTTCTTGAATTTCACTGATCTGGCCTTTGGATAAAATGCGTAGTTGGCACATTGTTTTTTTGTTTGCCCGTATGATCTGGTTATTTGTAAGTGGTACAGGCCATAAAGAATTCATAGTGGTCAGTGATAATTTATGCAATTGATCGGATTTGAAATAATTATTAGAGCTTGTTTAGTTTTGCTTATCCTTACGATGGACGTTCTTAGTACACACTCACATTTGCTGAGAACAACAATTTTTCCTTGACTCTATTGGTTCTGTTGATTGGTAGTACAATGGGGTTATTAGAAAAAGGAGAACGACATCTAAAGTTTTTGTGATAGAAAGATATCCATTAAGATACAAGTTAAATTTTGATGTATGTGTTGTAAGTATTGGCAGAGGCTGAATTGGCCTCAGTTTTTCAAACTCTTATACTACCTCTTGGTACAGTGAATTGAGCTCTAGGACCTTTATTTGAATCTTGCTTGCTCAAGTCCCCAGCCACTTGAGCTGACCTTTGATGACCAATCTTTACACTCTGTTATCAAGATACTTTATTTTTGCTGTGAAAATAGTCCATGTGTCTTTTGATCCTTCATCATTCCCTTTGTTCTGTTCTACATTTATTGGCCTAGGAGTAGCTTGGTCTCACTGGTTGGATCAGTTAGACCTGCTTAATCTCCTTAGTTATTATGTAGTAAAATCAATATGAAAGCTACATGGCAGTCTTATGGTCAAATATTCTGTATTTTCAACTTTTATTGAATTCTTTATTTGCGGTCAATATGAGTTTTTCTTGTGGAAGTGTTTATCTTATGATAGGAAACCCTTGTCACAAGCTGTTTGGCATATGAAGCTGATTTATATTAATCAATTGTGATTGGAACAAGAATGTGCCTAAGTATTAAAATCTTGACACTTGATGCATTGAAGTATGAATTTGTTAGAAACAAAGTGACATGCATATTAGGTTCATGAAATAAAGAGATATGTGCATAAAAGCCGTTCAATATGCTTTCTGTGACTGTGAGTTATGTAGCTGATTTATAGTTATTCCAACGTGTATCAATTTGTGACACGAATGACCGTAAGCTTAAGTGGAAAAATGTTGACATGTTGATGATTGGTGTTGTCAGAAACTAAGTGATGTTAGGTTCTGAAATTAGAGAAGGGTCTCTCTTATATAAATAGTAATCATAAGAGCTTTGGATGGGGCCCTATTTCTTTTTCTAATTATTTAAGTTGATCATTATGTCATTGCTGCAATACGTGAGTATCCCTTGAGATGTGTTGCTGTCAGAACGCTGGCCAGGGTGTTGATTAAGTCAATCATTTACATTGAACTATGCTCTTTTTATTTCTTTATCTCTCTGCGCTCCTATCACGACATTTCTCATAGCATAATTTGTTGTTGATGAATTTCAGACTACATATTAACTTTGTTATAAACTTTAATAGTGCGAATACATTAGCATGATGGATTTAAGTTTCCATACCAATTGTAGATGAAAATACTGGCTGTTGTTGTCAGCCTGATCTGAATGTGACAGAGATCTCAATTGTTTTTTTCAAACTAGTTTTAATGGTATAGATTGCAGGAAGAAACTCTAATCAGAGAATTCATTTCCTTAATAGTTCTGAATGAACATGTTGGGTGGAAGCTGCCTTTAATAGTCATAATTAATTTTTTGTTATGAAACAATTGTTTGCAAGTAGTTATGTATTTGTCTTATATGACTGTGTAGGGTTTCTAAGGGTGTGAGAGATATACCTGGCAATTTCCAGTCTGCCACTAGTAATGTTCCTTCTGGGAAAGCCCTCCTATATTTTGGTTTGCTTCTAGCGACTGGTGTCTTCTTTCTTTTCATTGCATTTACCTTGTTCCTTCCTGTGATGGTGGTTGTGCCTCAAAAGTTTGCCATATGCTTTACTCTTGGGTGTGGATTTATCATCGGATCATTCTTTGTTCTCAAAGGTCCAAAGAATCAGCTTGCCCACATGGCATCAAAGGAGGTACCTTGTTTAAATTTTATTTCTTACTGTATAAGTATTGCATATTGATGATATAGCTCTTGATCAGTTATGACATGCGTGCTTTATTGTGTTGTTTGGTCTTGTAAAGGAAGTCTCATTGATTTGATTTTTATCCTGTGGATGCTTTATTTTTTACACGATCTCTCATATCGCCTACATTTCAGAGGCTCCCCTTCACATTGGGTTTTATAGGCAGTATGATTGGTACCATATATGTGTCAATGGTGCTTCACAGCTACATTCTCTCCGTGTTATTCTCTGTCATACAGGTATGTTTCATGTATTCTTAATGTGCTTATTCTTTGTTTCTTTTTTTTGACCTTGCCTTGAGTTTCTTAGATGCACTTTTGAGTTGGGAACTAATTTTCCATGACATGGGGCATTTGGTATTCGTGTCCAACACCTCTCTGCAATACTTTCAAGATTGAATATGTTGGACTGCAAGAATTAATTGGGCATTTGCTTGATGCTTTCTCATGGTGTTTCAATCATACTAGGCATATTTTAGATGTGAAAATTTTGTTTCGGACGTATGTACTTATGTAGGTTTTTGTTGGTCTTTCTTGTGTCCTTAATTATATTATAGATTTAGCCGTGGTGCCTATGTCCCTTTTTCTGTCTGTTTCAACATCCATAGTTCTGGTTACATTTACTGTTAATTTAAAATGTGCAAAGCTTTTGAACCCACCTCCTGGAACTAATTTAATTGGTAAGGTGGGATTAGGTGCATGTAGGGCCTATTGTTCAAACCTCCTGATGTAAGTAGGGGGGGGGGGTGAAAAGCCTTTTAGTATAGTTTTTTGTTTATCACTGTTACCATTGCTTTTATCTGGTAGAGTGAATTATGAATGTTCTTTCTGCCTACTTGGTAATGAGAAATATATTACGGGTATGACATTGACAGTCTCATAATGTGGTTTGGGTCAGCGGGGAGTGAAAATCCTCATAAGTAGATGCAGATTTATGCATTTATTTATATATTATTTTCTCTAAAACCATCCAATCTCATTTTGAAATTGATAGGTTCTGGCACTTGGGTACTATGCAATATCTTATTTTCCTGGTGGATCTGCTGGCATGAAATTTTTGACATCTGCTCTCACATCTTCAATAATGAAATGTTTTGGGAGGTGACATATTTTAGCTGATGAGAGGTGAGGTCTGCTCTTTAGTTGATGAGATGTGGTAGTTGAAGTGTAAATTTGTCTCTCAAGATATGTCATGTTCCTTGAAACTTTGAACTGATATGAGAATATAGCTGATTTGACGCATCATCTAATGTTTCCAAGAGATTTCAGTGTTTGTTGTAGCATCTTGAAGGGATTTATTTTTCGAATACAAGCCTCAAGCTTTCAGTTGCAAAGAATATTGCCTGATCAATGGGCTGACCAAGTGTTCTGCATTACTCTTCATGCCAACTCTCAAAAGATTTATCCTTCTAATGAGATATTATTTGACGCTCTTTCTTTGATTTCTTGTTTGCTGTTGGCATTTTCTCCTGTTGGTAACGGAAACAAACCATATTGCGGGCGAGACGAAGGGGGATTTATATAAGTTCGATCATTTTGATTTTAGATTGAATTTATCTATAGATCTTGTATATATATAATTGCACTATTTATATCCTAGCTAACTTCAAACTCCGGAAAAAACAGGGGTTTGGTTCAAATTAAAGCAAGAAAATCAGTTTTGTAAAGGGGAGGATTTCTTAAATTGAGTTTTAGTTGGTCTGGGCTGTCTCGTGTGAGTCTGTATATTTATCGAGGGTTTTAATTGGGCATTCATCCGATTGTAAGGGTATTGGGCAAATCAAGTTAATAACATGGTTTGAAAAATAGGAGGAAATATTATTATTAGTCACATGGATTCTTCAATTATTATGAATTACTATTTTCGATTTTTAATATAAGAGTTAGTTAACTAATTTGAGTAAACTAAGAAAATTAGTTAAGGTAGTTATTTGTAATAAATAAGTATTGTCTTATTAATCAAGTGTATTAGCTAAAACTATTATTTTTATGAAACTTTTTAATATGTGCAACTATTATAAAAACTGTCTTAAAAAAATTAGATAAATATAAGAGACAAAATAAATTGGGGTCTTATATTTAAGATCAAATTGAATGTTAAATTAATTTTTATATTAAGATGCAAATGTAGTATAAGTAAAGGAAAACTGCGTAGTGTTAGTTTGATCAAGGGACTTCATATGTCCTGTAAATAAGGATGTAGACCAAACTTCATAGGTAAAAGAGCCACTTCTACTTGAGATCAATAATACGAGTTAGTTGAAAGTCCTAAAAATCAATTAGGACCGTTGGATATCTGGAATTTTTTTGCATGCAAATTTGTTCTTGAAGTTTAAAATTGTAAAAATATTACCTCATACTGTTAAAAAACTAGCATTAATCGTTAACATTTTTAACAGTATGTGATACTATTACTACAGTTTTAAAGTGTTGAGCAAATTTATATCTAAAAATACTTTTGAATGTCTAGCGTTTTCAAGTGAAAATTTTTGGGATCAAATTTATGTCTTAACGTTTCGAGCAAATTTACATCTAAAAAAACTTTCAAATGTCAAGCATTTCTTAGTGAAAATTTTTAGGACAAATTTATGTATTAATCTAAGTGAGAATGGAATGGAATATTGGTCATCATACGTTTGTTCGATATAATATTAAGAATATGTGAAACATTTATTTATTTTTCAATATTAGCTGAGTGCCATGTATGGTGCCGGTGGTGTTGGTGAAGGAGGATAAAGTGTTGAGGAGAGTAAGAGGGTGTGGACAAGAGGGTTGAGGTTGTGTTAACAGGGGAAGACTGAAGAATTACCCCAATAAAATGGTCCTAATATTTGACTTGATTAGATAAATTTTAACATGCATACAATGAATTTGAAGTTTTTAAAATTTTTGCTATTTTGTATGATTTAGTTAATTTATCTTGATTTGGGTGGAATGATATGTGATGTGTAAGGATAAATTCCCCCATGATAGGTCAAAATTATTAGTTTAGAAGTAAGCTAAGAGTAGGAAGTGAAACCAAATTGGGCTTTTAAATGATTTTATCTTCTCAGAAAAATTATGATTCTCTCAAAAAGCACATCTGAGTTCCTTCTTAGTTTAGGTGGAACCAAATCATGATTTTAAAAGTAATCTTATAATGTACCAGGTGAGTATATGAGAAGAGTTTTATTTTGACTTACAAAAAATAATGTTTTTAAGTACTTTTACTTGATGCCAAACACCCATCCTAATCTATCAAAAAGCCTTTTCTTTTCTTTTCTTTTCTTTTCTTTTTTTTTTTGCCAGAAGTCTTTTTTCAAGGTTGCTTAGGACCTTTGAATTAATTCAATTTAATATATTTGAACCCACATGTTAATGCCAGAAGATATAATGTAAATTCGTCTTGTCCAATATTGATATTACTTAGGAGGAGTCACTCAAGCACTGTGTTCTTGGCTTAGGTTGGGCTCAAACCTCAGCCTAAAATTTTTGTAAATTTTTTTTAAATCATGTAATAATCAATCGTATCTTAAAAGTGAACACCTTGCAAGTCCTAAATCATTTCTAAATTTCAAAACAATTAATATGCTTCCTTTCAAAATATACTTAATGCATTTGTATTATCAAAGGCAATGCGAGTATTTAAATCACCACCACCGTAAAATTTTCTCGTGTTTTGAATGGTCATCAGTGAAAATTGCAAATAACGTAGTCATAGAATGTTTCAAGAAGCTTATAAATTTTTAAATATAAAATATTTCAATTCAATTACAAAGAAGCATGCCCAGGCATGAAAAGACGCACAAACTCGCCTCAAAGATCTCAAAAACCTCTATAAATTATGTGAGCTCAAACTCCCACCATAATTAGCAGCTACTGTACAAAAACTATAAAGTATAGATATCAACCCCCCCGGGGGGGGGGGGTTTAATTATCCCATTTTTAACCTGAAATTCTCATGATAAAAGGAATTTTCCGCGTGGGGTTGATCTGCTTCTCCTGAGTTCAGGCATGGGTGTATTGCTTCCTTCCCTGAGATTTCTGCTTGAGCCATTTACAAGTTTGTTTTCAACCCTGCTAGCCAATAAGGGTTCCCCTGCTTGCATTGTTCTTCTGCATATAATAAAATATTCCCGACTTATAATAAAATGCATGCGATGAATTCGTCAATTTTAGGAACCAAAAGAAAAAAATTCACTAATTTAAGAAAACTCAAGTGCTTGAGCTTATTAAGTCAAGAGAAAAATTGTTAGTTGAAATATGGCAGGCATACCTGGGTTCAAGGTTCTGAGAGTTTCTCGGGAAATTCTGACGTATCTTTCTAAGGTTTAAAGCACCATGAACTGGCGACTCGATTAGGCCAAAATCATTTTCCGGCTCAGAGTAATCACTCTTTCTAGCTGCCTCCAATGTCTTCTCATCAGCAATGTCCATTTCAGGGATCAATGCGGGGATGAAATCAGACTTCTGAATCCTAAAAGGGAGTTGCTGATGCTGCTGATGTTGATGCTTGACCTTGGCCTTCCCCTCAGCCTTGCTCTTTCTTATACCACCTTGTCTTACTGCAGTAAGTGCTTGTTTAAATTGTTCCTCTTCTTGTTCATGATGAACTTTCCTGGAGGTGACCTTCTGGAGGTTGAATAGAGCTTCAGAAATATTTTCCTGCTTCGTCGTCTCGTATGAACTTCCATTAATCCTCGAGTTATTGTCAGTGCATGGGGCCATAGGCATGGGGGAAAGAGATTTGTTCACTGGTACTCGGGCTGGAAATGGATGTTTTACTATTGGCTGGTTATCTACCATGTCAATTTTTACCTTGCTTTTAATGACTGAACCTCTGTCAGTGGATATTGATCTCCTGATAGGAGGAGACGGTGATCTTCCTTTAGCTGAGTTTGCTATCTTTTCTTCAGGCAGATGAGGCATTCTTGGGGTGGATTCTTTGTCCATGAATGATGAGGGAAATCTTGACCTTCTTTGCTTTCCCGAGGAACAACTTCTAGCCTGAAAATGAAGTTTCAGATTGAAGCATGAGAGCAAATGCAGAGGAGGATTCATTGAAGCGCAGTTTACAAATATGGTATAAGTGTTATAATATGGCATTTAAGTACCTCGTATATTTTATCATCAGTCGGTCGCTGGGAGGTTTCCGACTTCATGCTGGCATTGACTCCTAATTTGGGAAGGCGAAATGGGGAAACTGCCCTTTGTTTCTGAGATTCTACAGTGTTTCGAGCATGCCCAGCTCTCCATTGCTCCAGTTCAGCCTCCTTCCTCTCCAATGCCAACTTGAGGTTTGATACCTAATTAAAAAATGGAAAAACCATTCATCAATGTCTTGCATGCATTGAATCTTAAACTGCATCACAAGTGACCAGGAAATCAACCTCCTCTTTCAGCTCTTTAATTTCACCGGTTTCCTTATGAGACTGTGCAGCACCAAGTTCAATGGATGCCACCCTCTCAGCAAACTTGAGCGTGCTAATTGTCTCCCCAAGAGCATTTTGTTCAGGATTTATATGAACAAACATCAAAGTTTTGGCATGCCCACCTTTTGAAATGAAGTTTGATAAAAACAACAAAAATAGAGCAAAGATTAAGATAATTATATGGAAATTCATGATACAAGTTATAACCCAAAAAAAAGAAAAGCAACTATATTTTCAATTTAAACCACAAAGCATTCAGTGGCCAGATTTATCCCCCAAAAATATGCAAATTTGACTTTTGAAAATGAAATGGAAATCACTCCAATTCGAAATGCTGTTATCACCGATTGTCAAGAGCAATTTGCACTGAAGGGAAATAGAGAGGATGAGGGATGGGATCTTCCATGAGAAGCTTATGTCTATTACCTAAAGAATCTTGTAATACTTGTGTGAGCTTGCTATTTCTGTAAGGAATATGTGGACTTTTTTGTGCCAAAGCAGATATAACATCTCCCAGTGCAGATAGAGATCTATTTATATGTTGCGCTTCCTTCAGTCTTTCTCCCGCAGCCTCAGATTTGTCCACCCTTTCACTTCCAGCCAAATCAACAAGATGGAGACAACCTTTAAGAATGGAATTAGAAACTAGCTCTCTTCCTCGAACATGAATTGTCAAAATACTGCAATAGGGTAGCCAGATTATCTTAGTATATAGCTACAAAACAAATGGAGAGGCCAACTAAGCCCATGAAGAGGAAATTTTACCTATGAGAACGGCTGCTTCGCTCGTTTAGAGCAGTAGCACCCACTGCCCGGTTCTTCTGACCAATCCTCATTAAATCAAGAACATCTTGAGTACAATTAACTGGAACTAAACAAGCATCAGGCACATTAAGGCCATTCAATTGGGAGTTGTTTCGTATATCTAATGTAAACCTCGTTGTTAAGGAACTGAAACACAAACAAGTGCTTCAACCAACCCTTTAACCCAGAAGCAAGGAAATATGATAACGTAATATAAAAAAGCAAGTATGGTTAAAAGGATATCTTCTATTAGAGCCATCACTGACTAATAAATCTCTCACTTGTTCATTGTATATTTCAATCATCTGTACTCCAACATCATATTTTATG